ATGTTATAACGTTATAGCACAATATAATATGTTACATGGATATTTCATCTTCGATATAAATGTAATACATACGCGTTACATTATTGTTACATCTCGTGATGTAGCGTGTTGCATTGCTGAATGATTAATGCATAATATAGAATAAGAGATGAAAGAGGATCCATGTTCAAGATCTAGATTGCATATTTGAAGTCTCAAGATTAGGATTGGATACAATTTTAAGAGCCCAGATTCATTTGGGTCGGGCCATGCGTAAGAGTTCCTCCAACCCGAAGTAGAAAAATAAAAATAAGATATAATTTTGTACGTCAAAGTTAAGAAAGTTTACGAGGTTCCTGGGTTAATGGATCGTCATTAATCTCTTGAAACTCTTAATTTTTCTATTATCAAGGCAAATGGAGAGTTTACATGACTGTTCATGAACCAAAATATCATACCTTGGCCTATACATATAGGTTCACCAAATTAGGTACACTAGCAAAGATATTGGATGTGGGGCAATGGGCAATTAATTTATACAATATATTTTAATAATTAAAATTAAGCACATGAAGTTAAATATATACATATATTAATTAATACATGTGTATGATCATGATTTGCCATAAATAGAATGAGAAAATTGACAGACAAACTTAACAAGTATTTGACGCTAACGGGAAGGCATCAGCTACCAAAGGATTGTTTAGTGAATTGGTGGAGCCCAAGTGTTGTTAATCATGTTAGGGTGTGGTGAGAAAGAATATTTGATAATTGGATGACAAAGAAAGGTTGAAAGGGAGGCTAATTAATGATGATTTAGAATTAAAAGGGGTTGTCATTAGTGGACCATCTCACATTAAACCTCCTACCTAAGAACTGTAAATACATGGTGGAACATATGTCCTTTTTTTTTTTTTTTTTGGGTTTAGGGGTTCAAGGCCAAAAAACAAGAAGACAAACCTTTTGTTTCTTTTCTTGAACATGTTTTGGGTGACACAAACTCCAACAAAATTCAAAACTCAATAGCAATTTTGTTCTGATTGAGTTGCTTGCTGACCAGTGACCAACCCTAATCATTTCTATAACATCTGTGCTTAGTGAAAAAGTGTTGTGTTTTACATAATTAACTACTCTCTAATCATTTCTACTACATTTTGGTGCAATGGGAAAGTATCAGTATTATTATTCATTAACCACCCTCTAGTCATTTCCATATCACCTAAGCAAATAAAATAGGACCTATATAATTTACATTAATTAATCCACGGTCTAAAAGTCAAATCTCTCTCTCTCTCTCTCTCTATCTTTTCTTACATCCACCAACAGTTTCATTGAATTAAGTTCTCGAGATACCAACAATTGGAATTTAGTTTTGATGGTATAACCTTTACTTTTCAAAAGGGCAATTCGGTGTTTGAACTTTATTAATTTGTTCTAATAACAAAGTTGATGCTATTGTTAAATACAAGATATAATAATATTTTTATTTTTTTCTTTATATTAATCTAGAAAACTTATATAATATATAAGTTGTTTATAAAGATTGGAATTGAATAATATTGATTATTTAATGCTGCATTAGATGTTTTTTTGAAGTGCAAGTAAAAATCTACACATACCTTCCACAAAATAACAATAAATAATATAAACAAAGGGCCAAAAAAAAAAAAATCTTTGAACATAAATGGGACAACTCTGAACTAGCTACATGAAATGAACGCAATGTGTTAGGGTTTGGTACAAATAACCATTGGTCCATTGTTATTATTAATTCTTGTTATCACTGTATAGTGAATAATGATTCGGTATATATAGATAGTTATTTATAGTAAAGTTATGGGCACTTTTAGGATGCTGCAAAGACATCATTTGAATAGTGTAGTTTATCATTTCTTACAATCAAGAAAAATGTGGTGTTTTCAACTTTTTATTGGCCAAGAGTTATTAACACGGGGTATTAAATATTTTTTCCGGTGGGGGATAGGAATAATTGGAGGAAAATGGGTATGGGTAGTTTTATTGCATTGGCAATCTGAATCGGCGTAACTCGTGAACGTTTGTCTATTTATTCAAACAGAGTTGTTGGGTGGATGTTTTTTTATTTATTCAAAAGTTTAAACTGTTGAGTAGTATTGTATACTCACCCATTTATATTCAATCACTTTTTCATTCAGATCCGATATGAGACAGATCTCTTCTTATAACAATGGGCTTATATTGTGTCGTGCATGATATGGACCTATGATCTTTGGGCAAGGGTTGAAACATGTTGCTTCCAAGCTGGTCAGAAGCCCATTGGGTACCATTATATCCTCTGCCTGATACAACTACCTCCTCGAGGCCCAGCCAATTTCATCAGTAAGCACAAATAATTTCTACATGTAAATTTGGAGGTGGTTGGTTTAGGAAACTAGCAATGCAAGTAGACAGACTGAAGAGTTAATTTATATTAAAAAATAATGAAAACACAATTGATAATATTATATATAATGAGGAGTTTTTGTAACTGTGTTTAAGATTATTTTTTATTTTATTTTTCCAGTTGTACACTTTTTGGATAAAATAAAACATTTAATAGTAGTACAGATATCAAACATTTATTTGTTTTTTTAAACTTTTCCTCCAATTGTTTCTCATTAATTAAACAATAATGACCATTTAAATTTTACTATTAAAAAAAAATCTACTCAATCATTTCATCATTGTATATATACATTTTAATTTGTATATACTTATATAGTACCCAAAAAATAAAATATATTGAAGCAAATAAATTTCTATTATTCACATCTTAATTACTATTGGAACATCACATTCACAATTTCAATCTGTGGTTTCGTACCACGTTGGCTACGTTTCTATTCTCTTCAATTCTTGCTTTAAAGTAGTAGAGTGTTTTCTATGGGTTGGGAAACAAAATATAACTTGTTAATATATAAATTGATTATAATTATGTGATACAATAAAGAAAGATTGAAAAATATAGAAATTCAATACCTTAAATGCCATTGCAGATTAAGAAAAATATAGAAATTTAATACCTTAAATGCCATTGCAATTTTTTTAATTATGTCTTCAAGGGAGAGTTTTTCAATTATATATGTCAGTTACTTTCTCATAAATTAATAAAATAATTAAAAATACATGAAACCCAAATTAAGACAGCGAAGTGAAAGTACCATTATGCATAAGAATGAAAAGTAATTGCCAACTCTGTTTAATTTATAGGGTCATAGCGTGCTGCATACTTATTGAAATATTCCATGCACACATATTTAATTACATTAATTAAAAAATGTATATACAAAATAAAATTATATACTTATGCATATGTGGGATTGTAAAATTCATTATAAAATTGTATATACACAACAAAAATTCTACTAATTTTTAATGGTGTTCATCCTCTTCATATATACGTATGCTAGACGTATATACATCTAATGCTTTTCCCATTGTATGATGGATGAAATTGTAGATCTGTGAAGGATGAGAGTGTTTTGCTGTACACTAAATTTCCTATCATTTTTTCTCGTACATATGTGAATGATTTATTTTACCAGCTTTTAAGCTTTCTAATATTTGAAATTTTAATGGTGTTATGCCAAATCTTAGGTTTGTTTACTTGTATGTTAAGTAAGTTACACTATTGTTCTACAGGCATGTTGAAATTCTGTTACATTTTTGTTTTCAAATTTGTAGTAGTATTTTAGGTTAATGTAGAATATTAAGATATATCCTGTATTATATAATAGGGGAGCGTTAAAAATATCAACCGAAATTGTTCGGATGATACTGACTTTGAGTTCATAGAGAAAAAATACGAAAGCGATCACTTTGAGTTTATTTAGAAAAAACTCAGAACATATTACACATTCATTTGTCTTCAAGTCCTATCCTCTCAAACTGAGGAGAACAATTTTACAAAAATCTTTCTTTTAACACAAAGACTTTATTATTATAAATAATACTCCTACCTATTTATAAGCACCTCATCCCTAATGGACGGCTAAGATGCATCATAATCTACGGTGAATATTGTTCCTCTAGAACACTCTTAATTTCTCTACACTTTTACATATATGTGCACAATTATAGAATCCTCCACAAAATTTTACACTACTCCAAAAGACTCTGGAATATCCTCTTTCCATGCATATGTCATGTAACATCTTACTCTGCGCACCCGTGTCGCAAATTCTACATCACTCCAAAAGACTCTAGAATATCCTCTTGCGCATCGCTAGCATCGTGTAACCTCCACCGGCGGGACTTGACAATTGGCTGGTTCCTGTGTTATACCATGATTTGGTAGAAATGGCATTGACTGATTTTTGTATGCTGATTCACAATTTTGAGCTCTCTACAAGTTTACAATTAAATTGTAGTCCTCAAAACTCTCCATAACTATTGAGAACCACAAGCAAAAGGGTTTTTCCCAAATTACCCATAGGAATTTGCTCAAACGTTGAGTATTCTACTCAATTTTACAATTTAGAAACCCGATTCATATTAATTCTAAATAATAATGAAATTAAAAATTCTTGAATAAGAAAACATCTTATTCCCTAAGTTCTGAATATGAAATCAAAGTTTGCACTCAATTATTTTGAGGACCCGTATTTTCTTCTAATTGAATTGTTCAAACTAAGGAAAGAGAAATAGACATAGGGAGTGAGTGAATTATATTACTCGGTACAAGAACATCAGGTTTAAAGGTAGATCTCATGGAAATCACATAAAAGATAAGCAATGCTAGTAAATGTTCCTGTAGTTGAAGCATGCATGTAGACACGTGCACAACTTAAGAAACAATAAATACTAGGATGTATTAATTAGATGGTTATACAAGATACTTCTTTCAATTATCACACAGTTTTAACGGTCTGATACTCGGATAGTTTTCTGGATGCCAAAATTACAGTAACAATTCTGAAATTTGGAAGGAAAAAGAAAATTCAAATTTTGTGGAATAAATTAATTGACGTTCTCTTCACAAATTGCTTGAAAAGATCAACTTTTTAAAAACTTCTATTACACCATAAAAGAACATAAAAATCCTATTACAGATACCATATGAATCCTGTTGTACATTGACCAAATAAATTTAGTGACACAATTACTCTCAAAATGAAAATTCTGGGGAAAAAAAAAATTGCAAACTAATTCGAAGAAATTATGGTCGATCCGTAATTAGTAAGGAAACATACAATAGCTGCAATTCATGTTTGAACTGTGCAAACCTACACATTCCCTTGAACCAAAATGATTAAAGTATTCTTTATGTTGCATGCTGTTTCTTATGCTAATCACTGAATTCTCATACATATACAATACAAGAACTTCTCATTGCGGATTTAGTTCTCTCTTATCTGAGGGGAGAGGAAACATGCTGCAACTTTCTTCGAACTTCCGGCTTACATCTCTCTCAATAAAACGATTCTTTCCAGGTGCAATCTAAGCATCACAGCAACATTAAGGCATGCTCAGTAGTCACGAGCCCAATCGTTACCAATTGCACAGCAACCATAGATCCTGTCCATGTATGTAGTAGCATTTGCTGCATTACAACATTTTCACCCATTAGAATAAATCCTATCTTTTCATCCCGCAATTATAAAATATACGTTTATATATATTATGAACAAGCATCATCATATGATTTCTGTAAATAAGAAATCTAATCAACACAGTATTTCTTTGTTGGAAGGACAGATGTTTGCTCGTCACATTCAGTATTCCTAATATTCACAAAAATAAATTTCGAGCTCTTACTTTCAAGGGTGATATTTCCATTCAGATTTGAATAAAGACCTAGGAATTCTATCGACATACTTCATATTCTCTAAAATTTTACTCCAAAATATACTTGCAGGTGAAAGACTGGAGTTTTCCTAGGGTGAAGTGAATGATTCTCATCCCATCCATCACTTTATTCCAAGTTATGCTATAATACCAATTTTCTTCCAGAGAGTAATAGCCAGCATTGGAGAAAATCGATTTTCTTCCTAGGGGATGATGAAGTGGAAAGAAGGTTCACCTTCGGGACAAAAGTATGGAGGTCGAAAACTGATGGGGGTTTGGGCAATATGTGAATCATGAAGACAACCTTTCTCATCTTTCGTAGCTTGGGTGGAGGTTCTTGAAAGAGAATGAGCCTGCATGGTTTAGGGTCATCACTGCCAAATATCTTGATAAACAAGAATCCATTCATGTCTGGTGGAGCATTTTAAAACTCAAACTCTTCACATCAAAGGTATCAAGTGGAGAGAGGATGATGGCAGGAACATGTTTTTGTAGAAGAGTGGTAGGTTGGGAAAATTCCACATTGGTACTAGCTGCAAAACCAAGTCAGGCGTAGAAGATCAATTTTACTGTGGTGGACATTATCTATGAAAATTTGGAAGACTTTTACCTTCCTTAGTTCCTCTCCACAACCATCACAAATGATATTAAACAATGAAACACAAGGCAATTGAATCATCAGCCGGGATCATAAAGAGTGTACTACGAGTTGGAAATGGAATTAATACAATGGATTTAGAAAATCAAATCTCTCTTGTTCGAAGAATCGAAATACATCGAATCCTGGCCACACCCATTGCCATAAATAGTACAGCTTTTGATTCTAGCATGTACTCTAGGGAACAGTGGCTCGACTAAGTGTACTGATTACCAGGCCTTGAATCAAGAAAATTCAAATATGGACAATCTTAAATGGAATTTTGTAAATTAAAAAATAACGAAAACATGAAAACCTTCGTTTAACTTGTTGGGCTTGAGCATGAACTGCTGTTATCCAATAAGCTTTAGAAATGGCAGGGGTGTACGAGTTACGCCCAATGATCCTCCATGGCTCCATCTAAGATGCGAGTCAAAAGAACAGAAAGTGCTGTACGTTTTAGAGATTGCACTAAAAAGTGGCAAAGTCTAGCTAACTAAATCATCCAGATGACCCAAAATTAAATGACAGAGGACTGAGTTATAACAATAAAAAACTCCTCTGACCCGGATTTAGTTGATCTCTTTGCCCTGTAATAATCATTATGCGTTTACGATTTTTATCTGGAAGGATAGGAATGGGGAAGATTCTGGCTAATATATCAAATAAGTTTTAGGAATATGGTTTCATTTTGAACTTGCATGTTTACCGTTTGGATTGGGAATTTCTTTCATAAGTGCCTACAAGGTACATATATTTATATATTACAAGTGAATGCGTATATGGATTATTTTCCATTTTCCCTCTTTTTCCTTTCGAGGATTTCCATAAAATTACCTCAAAAATTGAAAAACTGAGAAATATCACTCCTCGTCAAAGTCCATAAGAAAATCAGTTAAGTTCTCAGAATCAACTATAGCTTCTCCAATAGACATGTCTTCCTTCTTTGGTTTACCCTGCAACAGGAGAGGAGAGAGAACATATTACATGTAGTTGCCTGAAATGTATAAATTAAGTTGGCGAGCAGATATATAAGATACAAATTAATTCTCGCGCACACAGATCATTGTCAACTTCTTGGTCCTTGAAGAAAGAGAATTCTCTGCTGCTATCCCTATCTGGTAGGATAGGATTCTAGTCATCTAAAAAGGAATTAAGCATTGGAACACATTCTCAGACTGACGAAATTCAGTCTGGTTCAATATTTCCATTCAATATTTTGTTATACATTTTCAACTATTACTGATATAGCACCACGATTCACATGAATAGTGATACTTAACTGCACATTGGGGGTTTCATTGGTTCTCTTGAAGCTCTCTAATATATTTAAGTTCTTCCCATCTTCAAGTGAAGTATAGGGTAATGCATAAATTAGTGTTCATCTCTCATAGACTGCCAAATCAAAAGCAAGAATACTACAAATAAGAAAAAAAATATTAATGACTAGAAACTGAGCCACCTGACTCACCTTTGACTTGCGTAGCTCAGGAGTACTTTTTAGAACACTCCAATTGCGTGTAATTTTCTCCTCCTCTTCATCCTCACCCTCAGCTTCACTATCCTCTCCATCCTATCACAAAGAAGCATAAAAAAAGAATGCCATAACTTATGCAACCAAGGTAAGTAATCTATAACTCCATAATAGCAAGCGTAACCAGAATGAATTGAAGTGAGAGAAAACATTATTAAGAATATGAAAGCCCAACAAGAAAACAAACTCACATCATTTTCACCAATGTCAACAGCTTTTGCCATAGCTTCATCCATATCTGGTATCTGTTGTAGAAGAGAGTAGACTCCAGATATTAAAAAAATTATTAAATAAATAAGAAAATGACCATCGAGAAGTTATACAGTTCCTAGTTTTAAAACCTCAGATGTAATAAATCAAATCAGGTGGGAGTAACTCTAAGATATACTTGATTAAGTAATTCTGAAGTTTGGGTGTGCTAAAGATGTACTTTCTATGGCAAGAGGTTGAAATGAGAATTCCTTAGTATTCAATGCGCAGATGGTTGGTAAGAACAAGCTACCTATAACACATGGGTAGTTCGGGTTCGATTTTGATACCATGGATATTAAGAACAAATGTGCTGGAAGCCCCAATAGATTGGGCCAAGGTGTAGCATAAAAAGATGTATTTTTACTTATCAAAAAAAAAGATTGGGCCAAGGTTAAAACCAAAGTGATCTTTTGGAGAGTCATTGAGAGAGAGAGGACATTTAGAAAACTCTGAGGTTAAGACTGCCCTTCTGGTAGTGTTACAAAAGAAAATATATTCCACTCGAAAATAATCCAAATCTATCCCCTTGTTACTGTTTTCTTGAAATTGGGGTAGGGTCATCTCTATTTATAGGAGACAAATGCATGTGCAGGATAGCAAGTACACGAACTGGTATGGCGTAGCCAAATGGAGATACTGTTACATAATGGGACAATATCCATTTGTCTTGAAGGTCATGTGATGCTCTGTCGCTCTCTTTATGACGGGCAGAGGTGTAAACCATGGAGGAAATATATATAGATGCATAATTGATTCTAGCTACCAGGCCGCTAGGGCTGTAAATGAACCAAACTTTCGACGAACAGCTTGGGCTCGGCTTGCTAAGAGCTTGGTTCGTGTTCGTTTGTTTAATAAATGAACCAAGCTCAAACAAAATTTTCATGTTCGATTATTAAATGAACTAAGCTCAAACAACTCCCAGCTCGGCTCGTTTGTTCATCATGTTCGTGAACAAACTTGTTGAACGGCTCATTTTGAGCTTGACAATACACACACACACACACATATAAATTTAGGCTATTTTAAGAAAGCTTATTAACCATTACACTTTATTTTAACTTATAAGTAGTCTAAGCCCAACATAACTTATATATTTATTGCTTCTGAATATGAAGGGGCCCAAGAAGCCAAGCCCATCTCAATTACCCAGCCAATTGTAAGCCTTATCTCTATTACCTTCTCTTTCTCACTCACACACAACCCCAGCCCCAGCCACTGAGATGGAATCTGTACACTTGATGAGATTGAGAAAGACAAATGGGTTTTGCCAACCTTAGGCTATGGCTAGAGTAACGCATACACAATGTAACATACAACCTTAGGCTATTGGTTTTCTGACACAATCGCCGGTCATAGAGAGGCAAAACCAGTCATCATTGACGATGAAAAGAGGTGATATACACACACATACAACGTAACATACAAACATGAATGAGCTCCAGTTGAGCAGTCCAAGCTCTCGTAACATAGCACATGCAGCATGGACACTGTACTCGTTTTGAAGCAATGTATGGTAAAAGAATACATTAAAAGAGTTTTATCTACAATTATAAAATAAACTTGAACTTTGAATAAGTTAATTAGCATAGGTTGTATATCAAGTGTCAAGTGTTCAAATATGTGGCTTGAGAGTACAGTCGTATCATATCCGGATGGTGCGAACCAATCCTGGAGATAGCCACTTGCACGGCTAGGGATATGTGGTAGAGATAGCTCTTGTTGTTGGTTTGCTATGTACGAGAAACCTTGTTTTAGCCCCTTTGCCAAAGTCCAAGGTCTAGGCACCTCCTGTGTTGGCTGAAGAACTAGAAACAGAAACATTGTGGAAATATGACACAGGTCATGAGTCTGAAAGGCACGTGTCTCATGGAAATATATCAAGCTAGCTTTCTGGAGAATTGTCTTTCTGGAGAACGCCAAGATTTTTTATTTTTATTTTTCAAACTATCATAATAACCAAAAGAATTTAACAGTAATTGATATTTTTTAGTACATTTACAATTGTTCTCGACTAGTTTTCATATTTTGAGAATGCCATATGATAGCTTCATTATCTATGCTACTAAATATCCCTTTTTAAACCTCAAATTATGACTCATCCATTGATCTTTCATTGGATTGAGCAATTTATTGTTCACAATATTCATAGCAAAAAATGTCCTTTATATAGTGGTAGATGCTAAAGAGAGAGAGAGAGAGAGAGAGAGAGACAATTACCATGGATGAGGGGTGGTAGAGTGAGAAAAACGAGAGAGACACTCAATTACTTTACTTTCTTTAAGATCCAAAATATTGGTGGGGGCAAGAAAATATAGTGGGGTATTTTAAATATTTAGTGGGGACATTTTAAAATTTTGACAAAAATTATAGGCCATAATGTAAATACAAAAATTTCAGGGGGGGCGAATGCCACCACTCGGCCCTTGGTAGGTCTGTCCCTGGGAGCATTATATTGGCCCACGTGACAGGGTGTTAATTGCCATGTAAATCTCCACCTGGAGGACACATGGCAAGGTGACGTCAGATACCCACAACACCATCTCATGGATGTGCCTAGAAACTCCCTTCTTGCCTCTCATGTCAGCCAAAAACCGAACTAATTAGGTGATCTGAACTAATATAAAGACTTTTTGGGAAGATAACTCTTGGAGTCCACATAACTCAAAATATACGGTAACAAACATGATATTAGATGGAAATTAGCTTAAAAATATATAACCAACGGGATTTGCCAAGTGGCATGTTAACACTGCACCATCACTGCAGGACAGTGGAGACATACTAGATAGATGCCTAAGGTTTTCCCATTACAATAACATGATATCAGTAAAGAAGCAATATGTACAGGCACTAATTTAAACAAAATGATATCCAATAGAGAGAGAGAGTGAACATCTTTGTCAACAAAATAATTTGGCATGAAAGTTGAATAAGACAAGGACATATCTTTTCTGTCCCTAAAGATAATTATTTATCAAAACATAAAAGTGGTAATGTATGATGCAATGTTCATAATTATCATTAGATTACCTCAAGTTCCACAGTCTTCTCTTTGGCCAGGATTTTCTCAAGCTCGTCTCTCGATATTATTTTGCCATGCTGACAAGACAAATTTGTGCAGATGATAAAAGGGAAAAAAAAAGTCAGCATTTACATCATCAAGACATTAGTTACTAATGCTGCAGCAAACATTCTAATTGGTTACGCATTTCCAATTGGTGTCAGGGTTGAAATAAGTATGCATTGGTGTGTATGTATGTGCATGCGCGTCTCTGTGTGTGTGTGTGTGAGTGAGAGTCAGTGAGTGAGTGAGTGAGTGAGAGAGAGACAGAGAGAGGTGGAAAATTTTGGGACAACTCTCTAGACTTCACTATGCGAGCAGCTCCATGGAAAACATTATCTAAAACACTGCTGATGCCTTTTGCCTTGATATTGCTGATTTGCTGATGGAGTTTCTAATTAAACTGAGTATCTTTCATGCCATCTAATTAGAAGTTGCCAGTGGATTCAATGTTTAAAAGAGTAAGAGCGTTAAACTGCCAAAGTTGAATGCATTAGACACTCACATGTTGGAACTATATGCATTCTTGCAATCAATTCTGATATTGGAGATTAAAGCTGAGGAGATTTGACCCCATAAATCCTCATGACTGAGTTATGTGAAAACAGTTAAGTACCAAAATTAACATGAACTAAATTGGATTATGCTTGTATTATGCTCCCAGACCCAATTAAATTATAGTTATTAACTCTGAATTCGTCCATCAACTATCACATTAATACATTTCCAAAAAGAAAATTAAGTCAAGTAGGCAAGTATCCTTAAGTTGACCAAGTAAATGGGTAAGGTTGAGTTGTTAAAAACGTTGCTGATTGCCTGATTCTATCTTATTATAGATTTTGGAAAGACATTAAGGCTGTCAGTGTGAAGAGGGATTTCGGGTTGTAGAAGGGACTTGAAAAACCAGAGTTTTGAATTTTTTTATTTAAGCTTTAAAAAACAAGGATTCTTGTATCCTCTTGAAGGGTTTAAAAATAAATTTTGAGGCCCCAGTTATAATAATTAGATCCTCCCAAACAGGTGTTACTTTTGACTCCCTAAAAGGATGGAACTGGAACATAGGACTGTTGTGCTCTCTCTCAAGAATTAAGTGACTCTGTCTCTCTCTCTCTCTCTCACACACACACACACACACGGCTTATGACTCCTTTCCTGTTTTTACTGCTTGAACTGAACTTCATACAAATGTTTCATACAAAAAATACTCTTAATAAATGACAACATTTTGAACATAAGAGCGAGTAATAACCTCTTTCAGATAAGCCAGCATATTGGGTGTTGGTTCATGAAAATCTGGACCCCTGAAATCAATCACCTCATCTGGATCTTGAATATAGTTCACTGTTGGGTAAACTGGATCACCACCCCATACTGCAAAGGTCACCAGATTATTCAAGTATCAGTAATATTCAAGTAAACTAAACCAGGAAGAAGCTGCAAAAAAAACATTTTTTTGTTGCTAAAATAACAAAGTTGATTAATAATCAGATCTGATTATATAAAATGCATAATAAGCCAGTCAAAACCTGGATATTATTTCCTAGTACCATAAAGAAAATAAGGAAAGCAAGAACTCAATTTGTAGCTCACACAACATACATGAGGAAAATGTAATATGATATACACAGATGGGAAAATTCTACCTATGTTTCAAGGTGGAGGTATGCTACTATGCTCATCAAGAATAAAAAAGGAAAAAGATAACAAGCAGCTGAATATATATACACATATATACATGAAGAGAGAGAGAGAGAGAGAGAGGATGATATCAATTTATCTTTTCTTTTAAGATATGGCAACAATGACAAGGATCAATAAAGTGAATAAAATAATAATAATTATTGCTGATTATTCCAGCCCGGAACTCATTATTAATTCAATAAAAATAAAATAAACCAAAATAAACCAAAATAATGCAGACAAATCAAGAAATGGAGATAATGCAGACTCATAAATTTTCAAGTAAATACTTTGCTTTATTTGATCCTCCCGCATTCGCATTGCCAAAGGATCCCTGGGAATGCGCATATCAGTCCCCATCATTATGCGATACTCTCGATCAGTTTGATGTGAGAACATTTCAATGAGTTGCATGTTTTCATCTTCACCAGTCTGTTCAAAATGTTTCTGAACAGCTTCACGCGAAGTGTCCCTCTTCCATGCTTTAACCCATTCAGAGTAGTATGCTATTGGACCTATTCTTTCCAGTCTTTCTTGTTCAACCTGCAGCCTACAAAAAAACTACAATTACGTCACAATTTTTATTTTTGAAAACTGAACTACAACAGCAAGCTTCTTCTATTTGATCATTCAGACCAGAAAGCAAGTAGCTACTTTGAAACCTCAAAGAGAGAAAAGCAAGCATTATTGCAGAGAATCACATGTGCTCTGATCACTTGCCATATTAGGCATCAGTCTGTTAAAGAGATTTGATGACTTGTTAGATACAGAATCTGACAATGTGCTAAGAAGTTAAAACCATGCAACTAGATACAGTAACAACAGCTTCACTGGGTCAACATCCCTTCTTGGTAGTAATCCACAGTTCATAAGTTTAAAAATGAATTCTGAACTATTAAGCATTGGCACAGTTTTTGTTCTTTTCACAGTACGCGTTATGAATGTATGATGATCAAGCAAACACAGTTCTCTATGTCTAGACTTCAGATTGCCTAGAAACTGACAAAAATAGAAGTCCTTCATTAACTATGGCCATAATTGCAGACTAGACAACTGAACCAGAAGCAATTTCATTGTTAATTACCTCATTAGTGAAGTGATACAAGCACACGATTGCAAAACTTCCCTAGTAGAGACCACAAGCTAGTCCTCAATAAAGCTTCTTTGTCAACACTTGATGGTGCTGTGGTCTGGAAAAGAAAAAATTAAAGGCTGAAGACTATCCTACCCTCACTAGGTTAAAGTTGCTTGCTCGGGGTGATTGTAGCATTCAACATATTAAACACCTGGCTGAGTAAAAGCAGCAATTTTTAGCTTCATAAATGTTGACAGCTTTTCTAGCAATGGATGAATCTTTGAGAATCAAGATAAGTCCGGGTCCTCCATGGTCAGGTATATGTCCCGCTCTGAACTTTTATCTTCTCACTATCAGAACTAATTGCACAGACAACTAGTTTTGCGGTTGGATATTTATTATCTACTGAGCAGATTAATAACTCTTCTGCTCCTCAATGACAGTCTAAATCCACTTTAACCTTTTAGCTATAACGCTTCTTTAGGTCTGATATAAGAAGTACGGACACTTCTAAAGAGGATTCTATCTGTGTTTGACACCAACACTACTAGGACCTTTTTGGACATAGGTCCGAAAAAATTCTTATTTTAGACACATGGCCCACACTTTTCAGACACCAGCAAAATGCGACTATCGAACTTTGGACATAGAAATTTCTTTTAGAATGGAAAAAAAAATAATAATAATTATAAGGAAAATTGAAACTAAATGTTACATAAGATATATTGGAAATTTGATCATATACAAAAAAATATATGTAAAGAGGTTCATTCAGAGAAAAGTCACTAAATTATGTTTATATATACATATATATATGTGCATACATAATTACATATAATAACTGTATAAATATACGTTGTGTGTTTTTTATGATTTATTTATTTATATACAGGACAAAGGTACTACTCAACTGAACAAAGCTTTTTCCCAACTATTTAGAGTCAGTTACATAAAACCATAATCTCAGTCAAACACATGTTATGATATCTCTTCTTGCCATCTTAACCTACGTTACCTTTTGTCTTCCATTTCCCTAGCATTACCCTCAATGTGGATCATGTTACTCTTCCTTCATGGTTAGTTATGATTTTTACTAAATGAAATGACAAGGGTGATTATGGCTTATATATTAAAAGTCGTAAATTTCATGTACAAATTAAATATTAAATTTAGGTATCACGAATTTGTTTTCTGTAAATTATAAAGTTATATGTAAAAATATATATATTTATTATTGTGTCTGTGCTGTGTCCTACTTTTCTTTGTAAGATTTGTCATTTCGACATATCTGCACCATGTCATCTTTGCCTCGTGTTGTAGCTGTTCGCATGCTTCTTAGCATCCAACACTATTGCCAAAAACCCAAACATGTTAATGTGCTATATAAAACTGCACTTAATTTTCACGGAACTGTTACTTCCAATAGTTGCAGTGCTTTCATGAATATTCTTTGGCTTTTGAGCAATCTGACCTGACTTTTTGGAAATTGCTCAGCTAGGGTGGGTGCTATAGGAAAACATGTTCGTTCAGCTACAACATGAGAAATCATTTATACCTTTCCTCTTTGTAAATATGCCGTCTTGCTCTATAAAGAGAAGTCTCAGTCAATGTTGGATGTTCACCATATAGCTTTATTTGCCCAGTTTCTGCCATGGCTTTAAGAAACACCTGATGAAAAAAATCAACTAGGCAAATTTAAGTCAATAGTAGGAGACTACTTAATATGTCATGAGCACATGCTCAATAGTGTGCTTGTGCATTACACATACGTATTAACCAAGGAATGCACTTCTGACTTTACTGGATATGTCACTAGACTCCAACACAAGCTAAATCACATAAATTGCATATAAATCTTGAAAATATTAGTGCCAAATGCAGAGAGGAAAAATCACCACAAATTAGATTCCAGCAAGACAATCAACTCATAAACCAACATGATAAGATATATCTTCAAAAATTGAAGTACTCTACTTAAAAAAGCATGATAATTTCAACTTCTTTTATGTGAATCCCTTTCATAGGACCATAAATTACAGATCCCAACTCCTGATTATGCCACCACTAACTGTAATGCTCAGATCACCTAAATGCAAGCCACATACACGTCTACGGACAGTATAAAAATTACCTAATTGTATGCCCAGGGCTTACTTTGGTTCCATAAGACCTTTGTTTTACCAAAAATATGCCTGTTCGAATCTCTTTTATCAGCATAAATTTTCAAACCCTTACATTAAAAAAATAAAAAATAAATAAAAAAGAACAATCTTCATTTATAAGGTCCAAGGAAAACTCTCAATTCCAATAAATGATATTTTTTCCTCTTGTCAAGTAACTCACACAACCAGTTATCTCTAAGAGGACTCGAACCCTCACCTTCCACTTTGGGAGGTAGAGGAGATACCACTGGGCTACAACCCTCAGTCAATAAATGATTTTCCTAAAAGAAAACTCTCAAGTCCAACCACTATTAAAGATAATCTTTGGCATATTCGATCTAGGAAGCATGGATACGGACACGGGTACAACACAATACAAATATGGCAATATATATATATATATAGAATACAGGTAGCAGGGGGCCGTCAAAAAATAAATATATTATCATATATATATAAAATAATAATTTTTGCTCTTTTTATTTATATAATCATGAATGAAATCGCTAATTTGAAACTTACAACTAAACGTTTGTTATTTTTGTTTTCTAATTAGCCCATAATATATTTTAAATTGCATTGAATCCCATTCTTCTAAGAAAAATAATTACAAAATCACTCTGTCATATCCCAAAAGTGTTCATGCCATTTCTCAGCCGTGACCAGCCATGTCCAATCAAGAAGTAAAATATTCAAATTTCAGGACACTTCTAGCCATGTCCAACAGAAAATAAATTATTCAAATTCTAGGACACTTCTAACCATGTCCGACACGTGTCCTACGCATGTATCATACCACCACGACACCACTAGGAGAAGTGTTTGTGACTATGTGCTTCCTAGTGTCTGATCAACAAGGAGTATGCACGTAGAGGGCATACTTAAAAGATATAACCTACGTCCCCAGCTTAAAGTTGGGTCAAGTTATATATTCAACTATGCGCTCTTTCCAACCTCGTTGAATAGGATGGCCAGAAAGAGGTAGCAGTTTTGCTGAAAATTGGATCATCAGGTGGAAGGAACCATTTCTGCATATTAATGACAACATAATGCAACTGCTAACAAATATCATTACTTAGCCACCATTTTTATGTCTTTGCACTAACCGTCTCAACATCAGGACGCCTCCTTTGCCATCTGGACCACTGTTCCTTGTCTGGCTTTCTCCAGTTCCACCATAGTTCTTCACTTGTAAGTGCCTGCTCTATTGGCTTCTTTGTCTTTGGGTCAATAAATGGGTGAGGGCGACCAAGTTTCTTGTCCAATTCATACTCAGTTAGCTCCACTTTCTGAGATTCTGTCTGATAAACGATGAATTCTGAAGAGAGATCTTTAACCTCTTTCATTTCATCATCTGAAGTTTCAACTTCCACCTGATCATCAAAAACTACAGTCATCTCTGAAGAGCCAGGAGGAGCAACAGATGCCTTATTTTTTTTTCTCCTACTTCCAGGACTTCTGCCAAAAGACGGAGATCCTGCTGAAACACCAGTTGGTTCAGGAGCCCTGGCAGCCCTAACTTGACTGGCTGTGCCTTCTGGCCAGTACTCTTGCCCCGGAATACTTGCACGAGCACCAGAAGCTGGTTCAAGCTGCCCAGATGTGGAGTCCATATAACTGTAATACGGTGCACGCTCAACGGACACCTGCTCAAAGGAGCCCTCCTCTCCGTTCTTGCATTTTATAGAAGGACATAAAGGAGCCCTTTTAAGTCGACTGCTAAAACCAATCCTAACCCGCCACCATTTTGATGCTGAAAAAGAACCTGCAAATGTTGTCTGGTAATTCCCAGAATAGCATACATATACCAATTAGCATCACATAACCACATGAGGAATGCCAAAGGAGGCTGGGGCAGATGGCAATATACCATCCACCTTCACTTCCACACACAAGATACATTTCTAAAAGCTTACAGGGCACCATCTCATAAATTTAGACAGAGATATGTTTCAACCAAAACTATAAACAATCATAGTAAGAAATAATTCCAAAGAAAAAATGTAGTACAGGAATTGCGAATAAGACATGCTGCCGCGTGAACGCAAACACACGCACATAGAGGGGGGTTAGGTGGCTATTTTGTAGGGATCCTATACCTCAAGTTCCTTTGTGAAATCAACTAGATGGAGGACCCATAAGCAGGGATAATAGGCTTCCCGTTATCATCTCAGTAGTTGTATACCTCTTAATTGGTAGTCAATTAATAAGGTCAAGTAATCACGGATATGTTTGGATCAGTAATTGGTAAGGGTCATTTGCTCTGTACATCCTAATCCTACCAAGGATGTTTAGAAGTTTATAAAATAATGTCCGGATCATGTAACTATGGGCCCCCAGATGACATTTCATGAGAAAAAGCTTCCCAACAAGACACCTCTTTGTGTTTCTTTAGAGATTGTTTTACTTGGAGTTGGTGGTGCATTGGAGGGCTCACGTTTATGATTATATTCAGTTGACTGCTAAGATTTGGAATGAAGCGGAACTTCCAGAAGAATTTTTAACAGTTGAAAATGGATTTCATAAGTTAAACCATGGGAATTTGATGACATTAGGTCCTAATTGTGATGCTCCTTAATGATGTCTAGTATGAGGCTGGATTCAATTTCCTGCCAAATACACATGACACGATCCCAATGCCACCTTGGACCAATGGCTTGTTGGTTCCAATTTCCTGAACTCTTAATAAGCTTTATTATGATTTATAAAGCATAAAGTTCAATTCTTTTAGTTCAAGAACCACAACATAACCATCTACAATCAAATTTTATTAAACTCCACAAATTTGTGTCCACCTTCAGCGTTAACAACACATTAGCCATATAAAATTATAAAACCCGTCCAAACCAAACTAAAAGGAAGTCATGAACCCCTCTTCCACTTAGAGAACTCTTCATATAAATTTCATGGGTAATTTTATGAAGTGTCAACTGCCAAATCATATCAAACACGTTCGTACAATAGTTTAGCTAGCATATATAATCTTCATTTCTTAATTTCGATTAAGAGTGGTAAATCATACACATAAATACTACAGAAGTAAGTATTCAGCAGAAAACAAAAGCTTAAAAATTACACTTCCAGGCGTGAAAAACTAGTGCATGTAACAAAATAGTTAAATAATACCAGAATATAAGAATGCATACTCAAATACGTGTGTGTATATATATGAATATATGTAAGTAAACCTGCAAGTGTTGGAAGCTGGACTTCTCAGCAACAAAACCACCTAAAGGAACCATACTTCTCAATCCTCTATCTGCAGCACGAAATAGAGTTTCAAATTTAACAAAGAGAATCCCCAATTTACTATTTCCGAACTAAGAAGATATTAAATACCAAAAAAATATTACAGACACATATAATATATGAATATAATGTTGTGTTTCAAGAAAGTACCAGACCTTGATACAACCAAGTTGGTGATATTGCTGTCATTTCTGTCAGTACTGATGATGACCCACTATAATTTTTTTTTTTTTTTTGCATAAAATCTATAATTGTGTGTGTGGCTAAGAAATCAGAACATCAAAAAGGTTGAATTTTGAATGAAAATTTTCAGGGTTTTAGGGTGGGACGATGAAGATAAAGGAATCATCGTGCGGGTCTAAAATTGAACCAGGCCCAACCGGAGACATTTATATGGCCGAAATAACCCGACTTGATTTCCAATCCGATTTACTGGATCCGTCCGAGATTGTATGGGGTGTGGGTTTTCCAGATTGTTTCGGGCTTGATCGGTCTAATCGGGTATGGGTTTCATTACACCTTTAATCAGGACCATTCCTGGTTTAATTATGCAAAAGCTTTGCAGAAGGTATTTTTAATTCCTAATTCAAATAAATTTGATCAATTCAATAGTTTTTTTTATGCAAAAAAGTTTAAATAATTTTGATTCTAGTGGTAAGTCACTTGGGCACGATACCTCGTAAAATATCACGTTTAAGGTTTGACTCCCTATAAAGGAGTGTAATAAGATTAACACGCACTTTTCTAAAAAAATAACAAATCCCCGCATGAAATGTGCCAAAGAACATGAACGTAAGAGCGAGCCAATGAAGATCTGTCCGCGGGTGCAATTGCAGGGTGGCATCTTCATTTCGAAACAGAATGATTCTCGACATTGGATATCTCAGCTCTTGCAAGTGAAATGCTATATTTGTTGTGAATTGCAAAATCTCGTGTACCATCGAGTCTTTAAACGCAAAGTGTGCTCGAAATCATCCGACCAGGGGCACATCTGCTTAGGTGTTTGTTTGAACAATTTAAACTAGGGACTTCTTTCAAAACAAACAAACTCAATTTGTGACATGAAAATAGGGACAAAGGCATAAATTATCCCTAAAGTATACTCCGCATAGCACTTTTACCCCCTATTTGAAAAGTGTGCAAAAAACATCCCTAATATTTTCACACTGTGCAAAAATACCCCATCTGACATAAATTAGTGTTATAATACCCGTTTTGCCCTTTTACTATTCCAAAAATGCCCAAAGGGTATATATGCTATTAATCTCATAATATAGGGGTGTTATGTGCACATTACTTTTTTTTTTTTTTAAAACATTTTTCTCTATATATATCTTTAACCAATTTATTTTTATTATTTATTTATTTATTATTATTTTTTAAAAACTTTGAGAATTTGTAGAATAAGGATTTGAATTTTTTGAGATTCCAGCTACTATTTTCTACTAATTTATTTTTATTTTTTATTTTCGTATCAACACTTAAAAAAAAAAAAAATCCCAATATCAGTGTGCACTGGTTTTCATAGTTTGGAAAAATTTTGTTTTCTTTAGTTTACAGTTTATTTTTGCCTTTTATTTTTATCTTTACTTTTTCTTTTATACTTTTATTTTATATTTTCATAGTTACTTGTCCATTGCCCGCATCTTCCAATAGTGTCATTTTCGGTCATTTTATAAAATAATTTTTTATATATATTTTATAAAATAGTTCAGTAAAGGTAATTTAATCAAAGGTTTAAATTTGTCAAAGGGACCTATTTGCACCATATTAAAACTTTAGGAGTATTTTTTGCACGATAAAGGCATCCTCCGATAGTGTCATTTTCGGTCATTTTACAAAATTATTTATTTTTATATATTTTATAAAATTGTTTAGTAAGGGTAATTTAGTTAACTTAGGGTTTAAATTTGTCAGACTTATTTTTGCACTGTAAACATACTTTAGGGGTGTTTTCTATACTTTACCCTATAAAAATAGCATGGTATTATGCCCCTTAATTCCTATATATTCATCTATTTCATAAAATGTATAAACTATGATAAATGTTAAATTATTCATTTAGGTAGTTTCAATAGGTTGAAAGAGATATTTGAGTTACATGAATAGGTTAATAGGTTTTTTTTTTTTTTTTTTTTTTTTTTTTGTGAATAAATCTTAAAAAATTCAATAAAATTCACTAAAATTCATTAAAAATCCATTTATATTGAGTTATGTGGTGAAAAGTTGCATATAAGGGGCATTTCGTGCGAGGTAAAAAAAAAAATCATGAAAATTTGTGATTATAATAACCAATTTCGTTACGTAAAGTCAATACATGCTTCATTCCGTTACACCGCGACTGTAAACCTTGATTATATATGATATTACCATTTAATTTTGTCATTATAGTTATATTGTGATGAAAAAAATTATAGTTATGTTCTGTTTCTTGAACATTTTATATATATGTTTGTAATGTTGTTTATAGGACTATTGTGCATTTGTTTTATATGGGATAGAATATAAAATGTGTTGATGGAGTGTGGATGTATTTACAGTGTTCAAAATGTGTCGGTTAAATGTGTTAAAAAATAAAATTTGTTTTTGAATAATAAAAATGGCTATGAAATGTCAACATGAAATATCGATGCTCAACACATGTCAAATAGGGACATAATACCTATGTGGAAGTTTCCGTATTTTTTTAATTTTTATTTGAAAGATTATTGAACTTGAAATAAATGACATTCTTAATATGCTATAATACCTTGTTATGGCTGGATTCCCAATCCAAATCCTCTGAATAATTCCAGTTATTGTGTCTTTTGCCACCAAAAAAAAAAAAAAGAAAACAAAAGAAAGAAAGAAGGTATTCCATTATTTTGCGGGCAACATTGTACAAATAAGATATTACTATGTCCTTTTGTAAATACTATTTTACTGATATAGTCACAAATTTTAATTTCAAATCTTTGACTTTTGCTGAACCAGTTTGAAAAGAATTTCTGAATTATTAAACTGTTTTTTTGGCCGTTATGTCAAAAGATCATTGCTAAATGGTTGATATTTTCTTTGTTCTAGAAGACAATATTGTGGTAATTTTTTAATTTCAAATATTTTATTTTATTTATTTATTTTATTTTTTATCATAAAGGCCAAGTCATAACGGGCTGTATAAAGACAAAAAAATAAAGTTAAAAAATACATACAATTCTTGAAAGAAAATAAAAATAATAAAGAACAGGTTTCAGATTTGTAAATAAACGAGGACCAAAACTCTATAATGAAAACCACCAATAACAACAAGAGTGATCCAAATGTTTGTCATCATCAAGGCAACAACTCTAAAGTTACAACCACAAGGCACTCCGAGAAGGGAAAGACCACCCAAAACCCCGCACAAGATCAAATCAAGGAGAAAAAGATCAGATCTAGGCGGGAACAAACCAAAACCGAACTAGATCGGAGATCTATCTAGAAAAAAAATAACAGATCCACCTATGTGAATCGAAAACAAATCAAACATGAGCAAATCTAGCCGAACAGAAATAAAAGTAGCGTAAAAAAAAAAAAATTACAAAATGTACTTATTAAAAATATGTCGAGTTTATTGCAGCCGTGGGAGGTAGGCCATCACCTCCCCCACGCCCATGGAAGGGAGCAAACGGAATGGGTTTGAAAAGAATTTCTTAACTATTAAACTCTTCTTTGGCCGTGATGTCAAGATCATTGTTGAATGGTTGATATTTTCTTTGTTCTCCGAGGCAATGCTATGACAATTTTTTAGATTTTTATATAATCTAAAAAATACCCGCTACCATCCATCCAAGTTAAATTCAACTCGACTTGATCCAATCCAACTCATCTTAATAAATTTTTATCCCAATTAAAAATACTGTGTCAAATAACTATCATGTGCTTGAACCGGAGTAAGCTTTTATGAGTGTGCTGCTAAGGAACCAAGATTAAGCAGTGTATTTAACGAGTCTATGGCAAGCATTTCAAAGGTCTTCTTTGATAAGGTGTTCAAGGTGTATACAGATTTGGAGATGTGAAAGAGTTGATGGATGTAGGGGGTGGCAATGGAACTTCAATTGGGAAGATATTCTCTGCTTGTCCACACATTCATGCCATAAACTTCGATTTGCCTCGTGTTATTGCTAATGCTCTTCACTTTCCTGGTTAGTCTCTCTCTCATGGGCGCGGCACATACACATGTTTATATGAATCATATGATATACATGTTATATGTATGTGTTCATAATTTCATATGCATGCATGTAATGATTTGCATACTTAATTACATGGTCTAAGAAGAAGCACTACTTTTCATATTATTCTACATATGTATCTTAGTAAATATTTAAAAGAAATAAATATGAAGAAGAGAAAACATAGAGTTAAGTGTGTTCTATCAAAATAGTTTGTTTCCAAATCAAAATATGCTTCAACCATGCCTCTCTATATCTTACCAAGCGTTGTCAACTGTTGAGGTCTAAGGCAAAAGCTTTGAAGGTGGCCTTTTAATTGTTAGTACAAATAACTTTGATCAACTCTATATTTTTTATGCAAAACCATTTTTTCTATTTGATATGTATGAAAATAAAACTTTAAAATATTGAAATGTTCAAAACGTAGGACCTTATAAAAGCAATCAATCTTATTTGATGTGGATTAAAAAAAATTACATTATGTAATAATAAAAAATTTAAAATGGTCCACTTTTTAAAAAAATTTAAAATGCATTTTTTAAATGGGGCCTTACTTCACATACATGCATCGGGCCTTAGGCAAAGGTCTTAATGCCTAATCTATACTTTGGTATACTGTTTTTCGGATGAATTACTTCGTTTACAATTCCAAAATTGCGTTTTTAGGATTATTGAATATTTTGTGATTGTTATTAGAAATCTAAAGGGACTAAAATTATTATTATTATTTTTTTAGTGATTAGCTTTATTGTATATTTTTTTCTTAATTTTGAGGAAAAATTTCATCTTGGGCTTATTTTTAGTTTTCCATATGCTATTAGGTTTTCAGTTTTCTACACGTACAGCAAAGAATAAATATATTTCTTGATTACTAATATTTTAAAATTTCTCCTTACATGTATTTTGTGAATTCAAAGTTCCTTATTATTAATTCATTCATAACTTCGGCTTTACCACTTAACTAAGTAAAAAAATTATAGTCTAGATTTTATTAGTCATAAACTTTGAATACGTGGGATAGGGTAAGAAATTAATAAGCTCTTTTTGCCGCAATTATAACATAGGTTATGAACTTGATAAGTTAATGTCTTTTGAATTTTGAAATGAAATCCCAAGCCCAACTATTTATTATTAGATCCAAATCTCTCTTGTTTGTCACTAATTCCGTGTCCATCATGT